ATACCTGTCTAAACTCTTAAACAGTTCTTCGTCTACCATGTAATTACACGCTACCAATTGTATATATTCTTGTTATTTAGTTTGGCTATGTTTGTAAATATTAATGATATTTTGTGTGTTCCCTAAAACTACGTAATTCAGCCTTTTGTACAATACTTTGTATTATTAGGTTGCAATGTTGTTTTAGTTTTATGTCAATTTGCAAATAAAACAGTTGCTTTAAGTTAATTTTGAGGCCTGAGGCTGCACAAAATTAATTTCATGGTTAACGGATTCGCCCGCTTCATTTTTTTCTGATTTGCAAATAAAAATAAAAATTCAGAATCAACTGCAAAATGCTCATATTTTGCCCAGAACTGTTGAAAACAGTCCTTTTCATCCTTGTTGTTACAGTTATTCCATCTTTCAATGCAGTGGTATCATTAAAAGTTCAAAATTCATTGTTTAAAGAGGGTCTGCATGGGGGGGTCCTGGCAACGGTTAACGGTAAATTCAGCAGGGCCGATAACGCTTAACGGTAAATTCAGGACGGTCGGCAACGCTTAACGGTAAATTGACAGGCTTTTTTTTCGAGCTGCACTGGATTTGGTATCTCGCTTTGTGAGAAAAGGTAATCACTGACAAAATTACGTATACCTTACATGTTATGAAGCATGCATTAAAGGTATGTGTTCCCTGTGTTTCCCACCTGCCCTGGTCCCCGAGTGCGTGCACAAATACCCGGTGTCCGAGTCGACGTCGGCCAGCTTGCATTTTTTCAGTCTGCCCAGTTTTACCGATGGAAATTTAGGATTTTTAAACCTTCAAAAACGCAATTTCCCGCATTTTGAGAGGCAAATCATGGTGTTGAGAGTGTTTGTCGGTCCTTCTGATGTTTTCATATTTTACTCAAGATTTTTAATTTGCCTGTCAAGGTTGACGGATTCGTTAAAAAAATTCTGTAACTCTCCGCAAACTTCCGGAAATTGAAGGGAAGACTGGTTCTGGCTAGAGCCAAAGGGACCGAGCGCAGAAGCGCGAGTCGAGCGCCAAAGGCGCGAGCAATGTAGGGGGTCCGGGGGCATTCTCCCCCGGGAAATTTTGTATTTTTGAACCTTCAATGACGCATTTTCCTGCACTTTTGAAAGGCAAAATTAGGCGTAACGAAGAATTATTCATTAACGCTTAACGCTGAATTTAGGATGACAAATAACGTTTTACGTTGAATTAAAACGACCAAAAACGCTTCACGAGGAATATACTGATAACGCTTAACGTTGAATTAGAGCGGGCCGGCAACGATTAACGGTAAATTAAAATAGCCCATAACGGTTAACGAAAAAGGGCATGCAGACCCTCTTTAAATTTTGAACCAGCCTGGTGTGTTGACTTCATGGCTCCTATCGTACCATTTTGGGTCATAATAGGATGCCTAGGCCTGTTTTTTTTTTNTTTTTTTCGCCCGCCCGCTCCATTATTTTTCTAGAAAAATCTGTTAACCAAGAAATTAAATTGGTGTGGCCTTATGTCAATTTGCAAATAAAACAGTTGCTTTAAGTTAATTTCGAGGCCTGAGCGTGCCGACCAGGTTATAAATGCAGCACCAAAGCAGGTTGGACAGTTCCTTCAGCGGGAGGATTTGGGAGACAGTGGGGGACGTGTTCTGCAGAGCAAGAGGTGACTCCACAGTCATCCATGTTTGTCTTCTCCCCTTACATAATTTACACCTAGCCTCCGTAGCAGGCTTATAGAACTGGGGGTTTGGTGGTCTTCGACTGTTTTCTGTTTAGCCTCCGTAGCAGGCTTATAGAACTGGGGGTTTGGTGGTCTTCGACTGTTTTCTGTTTAGCCTCCGTAGCAGGCTTATAGAACTGGGGGTTTGGTGGTCTTCGGCTGTTTTCTGATTAGCCTCCGTGGCAGGCTTATAGAACTGGGGGTTTGGTGGTCTTCGGCTGTTTTCTGATTAGCCCAGTTCTAAAAAAACTGGGGTAATTCAACCAGGCCGGCTATGTTGTCCCGACAACGCTCTACGCTGAATTTGGAAACCTCTCGATTACGCTTTACGATAAATTCCAAGTGGCTACAACGCATTAGTATATAATACGTAGAATTAAAACGGCGAATACGCTCTACGCAAAATGTGAAGAGCGGTCCGTCTACGATCTACGTAGAAGTAAAACGGCCGATTACGCTCTACGGAAAAGGGCTTGCGGGCCCCCCTATATCAGTATATGTGCTGCTAGGCTGGGATATGAGTAGAGCCCACACTGAGCCAATGAACCTATTAGTTAGCATTTAAGGCATCCAGTGCAGTTTGTAGGCCTTGGAAACCTTATTTTTCATAGTCAATACTCTATAGTCACTTATCTACATACAGTTGAAACCACACTACTCAAATATGCAGTGACCCTCATGGAACAAAAATTCCCCAAATTCTGACCGAAAATAGTTACTGGAAGGGCCCTTGGCTGATTTTTAGGGTACCACCCAGAAAATAAAGGACTCATCTTGGGGCTTGTTTCAGCAGTTTTAAAAGTCCAAAGTCTAAAATACTGACTCAAATGTGCTAATGTGAAGCAGTATGTGTCAATTTCACAAAGATTGCCTTATTACCTAGAATATTTCCAGCTTTGCTGCCCTGAAATGGGCATTGGATGCCTTTAACAATAAACCAGTCACTACTACTTTTACATTATCAGGCCACACCAATTTAATTTGTTGGTTCTCGGATTCGCCTCTTCGTTTTTTCCTGATTTGCAAAAAAAAAAAATTTGATTCTGGTCCTGAAGCAACTGAAAAATGCTCATGTTTTGCCCCCAACAGTTGAGGAAAGACCTTTTCTTCCTAGTTGTTACAGTTTTCCCCAACTATCATTGCAGTGGTTTGATTAAAAGTTCAAAATTCAATGTTTGAATTTTAACCCAGCCTTTTGTGTTGACTTCATGGCTCA